CCATCTTTGGATTTTGCCGAGCACCTCGAGATGAACAGCGGGGGCCCCAGACCATATATGGCAACATTATTCAATGTATGGGCAAATGGTAGATTTGTAGATGTGAAGGATGGATTCAGATGAGAAAAACGTTCTGACCCAACACAGAGAACCAACTTTCCTGTCAGTAGATACAGCTATTGATTCAATGTAGTTGTTCCCCTTCGGGTCAGTGGAAAATGTGAAGCAAAAAAGGCACAGTGAGATACTCTTGAAGTTGAGCACCAACCATGCTGATAGGGGGCAGGAATGGTTAAATGAGACAAGTATAGTTTTGGAGGCATTCAAATTTACAAGCCAGTTCATGTCCTAGTCAACCACTGATTGGAGGTCTTTTTCATGACCAACAGCCAGGTTAACTTTGTCAGCAATGCCAGATTTACGATTGACACAGGAGTATCATCTGCATAGATGCCTACTTGACAACTGATGGCATCAGGGAGATTGTTGATTAAGATAAGAAACAGTAGAACCTAGGATAGAGCCTTGGAAAACACCAGCATTTGTATGAAAGGAAGTGGAAGAGAGACAATTCAGGACAACCTCCATTTCCCGATTTGGTAGGAATGATTGGATTAAATCAAGTAATTGTTCTGTAATACCATAGCCCTGAAGCTTACATAGAAGGCCAGCATGTTAAACCTTGTCAAATTCCTTAGAGATATCTAGAGCCACGGCTCAAGCTTCACCATTATCATCAAGAGCTTGGTATACATATTCAGTTATAGCCATAAGCACATCAGCAGTAGACTGGGCAAAGCAGAAACCATATTGTTTGTCAGAGAGCAGATTATCAGAGGTAAGACGCTAACCATTGATTTAAGCTCCAAAGACTTTGCTGAAGAGTGGTAAGAGACTGATAGGGCAGTAGTTAGAGGGGTCAGAAGGATCTCCAGAGTTCTTAAAAACAGGGATGACAGAGAAGGACTTCCAACAGGCTGGGAAGCAAAAATCAACAAGGCAATAGTTGTATAATTTGGAGAGAACTACAGCTGGTATCCCATCACTGCTTTATGAGAGTTTAATTTACAGATGACGTCCAAGACTATTGACAGGATAATGTACATATCACTCAGTAGAGACTCAGTTCTAGGGGGAAAATCATGTGTGGGTACTGTGGATGAGTTGGGTGTTGAGTTGGATGAGAATTTCTGAGCAAAGCATTCAACCATATCTGCTGTGGATGTTAGAATTTCAAACTGATCGAATAGAGAAGGGATTGAGGATTTACTGTTGTTCCGCACACTCTTGCAAAGCCACCAGTAATCTCTAAAACCAAACTTGCAAAATGTAATACCACAATCTTCCGGTGCTCAGTATAGACTTATGTAATTTAAATTTTAATAAAGGCATCTGGTTACACAATGTTGGTGCGGTCTATAAATTTTAAAGTGATTTTTATTTTAAAAGTATATTTTGTTTTAAAATAGACAGGATTTTTATTAAAAAAAAATTAAATTAAAAAATAAAAAATTTTCTTTAAAGTTGGGAATAATATTTCATATTAAGTATAAAGAAGCTTGCTGTGCTTTTTAAAAATAAAAAAATAAAAAATTTTTTTTTAAATTTCATTAAAAAAACAAATATAACCTAAAAAGGGGAAAGGTCATCATTTACATTAAAATGTATCAATGTATTTCAATATTTATTTTTATGCCTACATGTAACCATCAATTCATTTCTCTTGTTTAATAAACTAGGGCTATATACTGTCATGGGTCCTTACCTATAACTACAGAATGAACTCTTCCTAACACTATGTATACTACGCCTCTCAAGAGAGAGGCTCGAATTGAGTCGAGCCGATGGTAGTTCACTCCAAACCAGACTGACAGTCATACTAACACCTTCCACATCTTGTATTATTATTTCGTGTAATATACCTTCGCTATTTCTACTCTTGTGTTCGTGTTGTTCTTCCTTGGTCCTAACCTGGACCGTAACATATATACATGTAGATATTGGGCATCTTGAAGTGGTGTAATGGTTAGCAAGCTTGTCTTGCAAGAACAATTGTAACTGAGTAGTGAGCTCGATCCTCACTGGGTGCCCCATACTTTTGGACTTGTGCCACATCTGAGCTATGCTTGGAAAATCACTATATGCATGAAGATGTATACATATAACATGTAGATTTTGGGGGCTAAAATTGTTTTGCTGATGATGCCCGTTCATAGGTGAAACATGTCAAAATAGAAGTCTTTCAAATTGTCTTATATGTTTGCTATTTTATTGGATTCTTACCAAACATTATTCACATACACACCCACACACGCCGCACACAATATAGGGATAAACTGAAATAAATCTTAAATTTTGTCAATTCTTTGAGGCTTCTGATCATGCCAAGTAGATGAATATGTATATAAATAACAACTTTTGAGAAGTCATATATTGAACAGCTCAAACATTCTTGCAGCCTTCACAAGGGGTGCTCTTCCTTGTCCTGTATGAGAAAGGCTGTATGGTTTTAAGGCTGGCCTTAAAATTCATCAGAAGCAGAAAAACATGAAAAGCAGAACATACTGTTGAACCCTTAGATGTTAATGAAACATGTATAAATGAAAGGTTGTTACCTAAATCCACAATATATATATATATATATATATAAAAGGCAGCATGTGTGTGTGTGTGTGTGTGTGTGTGTGTAACGAATGCACGACCGCAATTTTCGACGGATTTGCACTAAAATTTACATGCACATACTCCAAGTTAGTGGCAAGGCCAAGACCAGCGTTGCATTTCTCAACTCCCATTGATAGTGGAAATAATCGATTTTTTCATGCTTCTACGGCAGTTTTCATGTAGTTTACGGCCATTTTCTACTAACCAGAGTGAGAGCCTATAGCTGGCTGCTACGAATAATCAGGAAGATTCTATTGGCCAGCGTGAGAACCAACAGCTAACTGACACGAATGTTAACTAGCATGCTAGCATGCAAAAAAAAATCGATAGCTGCATTCGTCACAAGTGGGAAAAATTTAAATCTGCATGGCACTTTACTCCAATTCGCTTGCTTAAACTCAACGTTGATTCTGATTCCGCAGAACTGGGTTAGATGTGAAAAAGTATTTGTTGTTAACATTCTTTTTTCATTCAGTTTTTCCAGTTACGAGTCCTTTTTTTTAAAGCTGATCGTTTTGTGATCATTTTGTTTAGTTCTTTTTTTTGTAACAGATTTAATGTTTAGTATAGAGCTTAGAAAAAATTTACAGTGTGAGATAGGCAAGAAGTAAGGTATGTAGCAAGATCAGCACGGCAAAGGGCCCTCCTTTAAAGGCAAGGAAGGGTAAAAATATTTTAAGTCCAGTGATAGTGATTGCTGTATGAGTCATATGATTTTTGAATCAAGCATGGACAATGCCAGGCCATGCTGCTAGGATATACATATATATAATGAAATGGATTAAGTCTGACATTTACCAACTTATAAATGTAACTAATACTGTTTAATTAAAAAAACAGAGCATTTACTTAAATAAATTGTATCTATAAAAATAACATATAGCCTGGGCTGTAGCATTGGACATCTGAAAAGCATTTGATAGCGTCTGGCATTCAAGACTTCTCCACAAGCTGAAAAGTTACAATATCTCTGGGCACATTTTTGAGTTGATCTCATCGTTCCTATCAAATTGGGAAATGAAAGCTGTCCTTAATGGCCACTCATCTACATTCTTTTGTATTAACGCGCATGTCCCCTGGGGCCTCATCCTTGGTCATATGCTGTTCATTAATGACCTTCCGAATGACATCAGCTCTCAACTTGCCATCTACGCTGATGACACTGCAATTTACTCCTGCTTTGATGGTAAGGCTGATCAGTTTGACATGGTCAAAATGGCAGCTGGTGTCCAAAACAACCTTAAGACTTCCGTTAACTGGGGCAAAGGATGGCTTGTCAATTTAAATGCTTCCAAAACTAAACTTCCTTCCATTAATCATCTGAGAGACTCCTCTCTGCCTTCCATCAGCATAAAGTGACTCATTGTGCCTTTCTGGCTAATGTTCTCAGCTGACATAAAGTGGAAAGACTATATTAAACCCATTGCTGAGTCAGCTGCTAAGAAAGTTGGTTCACTCTGCCAGGTGAGACAATTTTTCTCTCCAGAATCTATCTATCTATCTATCTCTCTATCTATCTATCTATCTTCTTCTACCTACGGACTTCTCACAGATATGAACAAAATCTATCCAAGTCTGTTCATATCTATCTCAGTCTGTTCATAGCTATCTATCTCAGTCTTTTCCTCTTTATCTCAGTCTGTTCATATCTATCTATCTATCTATCTATCTATCTATCTTCTACCTACGGACTTCTCACAGATATGAACAAAATCTATCCAAGTCTGTTCATTTCTATCTCAGTCTTTTCATTTCTATCTCAGTCTGTTCATATCTATCTATCTATCTATCTATCTATCTATCTATCTTCTTCTACCTACGGACTTCTCACAGATATGAACAAAATCTATCCAAGTCTGTTCATTTCTATCTCAGTCTTTTCATTTCTATCTCAGTCTGTTCATATCTATCTATCTATCTATCTATCTTCTCACAGATATGAACAAATCATCAAGTCTGTTCATTTCTAGTCTGTTCATATTTCATATCTATCTATCTATCTATCTATCTATCTATCTCAGTCTGTTCATATCTATCATCTATCTATCTATCTCATCTATCTATCTATCTCATTATCTCAGTCTGTTCATCTATCTATCTATCTATCTATCTATCTATCTCAGTCTGTTCATATATCTATCTATCTATCTATCTATCTCAGTCTGTTCATATCTATCTATCTATCTATCTATCTATCTATCTATCTATCAGTCTGTTCATATCTATCTCTCTATCTATCTATCTATCTATCTATCTATCTATCTCAGTCTGTTCATATCTATCTATCTATCTATCTATCTATCTATCTATCTATCTATCTTACACAAAAAGCCTGACATATATTGTCTGCTTTGTCTGTGGCATTTATTTGCATCGACTAAGTGTATCAATAGTTCCGAAAAGTGTGGATGGTTCTGCACAAATCTGCACTTTCAACACTTTAATCAAATCACTTGTGTGGGGTTTCTGGCGGTTTACCTTGATTCTTTCTTATTACTTAAGATTATCGCACAAACTTTCATAACTGAATCAATAAGCTGTCAGATCCTCATACATTGAAACCGATGGGAGAGTACATTATATACATATATATTATGGCATTAAAGGCAAGAAATTTTTTACAATAGGCCATGATAAATTTAAAAAAAAACATGAACACAAATCAACTGGTTTCGTCCCCTCTCGTCAGAACTGTAAACAGGGAAACAAATTATGAGAAGAAAGTCTGTCACAGATGACGTGAATGGATGAACAGGGAAAAATATAGAATAATAAAAGTTATAACACCAAAGATGCTAGCACCACAAGCCCAAGTAAACAGTCTCTTTGCTTACAGAGAGCGGGTCGCCTGGACTTGACGAACAGCGTCTCCAACACCTTCAGATGGAATAACGAGTGTGCTCTGGCCAGAACAGAGAAGCAGCTCACACTAAAATCCATAGCACAGGTCGGATTATTTATCAAGTGATCCGATATAGAAGACCCGTATGTATTTCGAATGGTATCACCAAACAAAAATTTTTGCTAAGTATTTTAGTAGGCACGTGCTGTTTAATCCTAACATCTAAATGCTGTGTCATTCTACCTATGTAGTCGAGTCCACAACTACATTTAAAATAATAAATATATATATATAGATATATAGATAGACAGATATCTATATCGACCATTCACCAATGCTTAGAATATTGCTGCCATATGGTGGAGTAATAGATAACAGCTCAGAATGAGAAATCAGAGAGCCGAGTTTGAATTCCAGTCGAATCCATTACATTCCCTCACATGTTAATACCCTTGGGAAAGGTATGAATCCTCTTTTTCTCCTCTCCACTTATGGGTAAATAGCAGGATGGACTGGGTTCTATAGCCTTGAATGGCAACTGGTCTACCACAGAAAGAAATGGCAACCTACTGCAGGATAAAAATCTGCCTCGTCAGTCATGTATCAAAAGATACATGATCGCCTAAGCATGTATCACACATGGCACATAACTGATCTGGTCGAGTGCCCCCTGCTGTTTACCTGGAGCTTCTAAAGAAGAATCAGCAATATTATTGGTCCTGATCTGGCAGCTCAGTTTCAGTCACTTGTCTGAGTAGTGAGTTCAATCCTCACTGTGCGCCCTGTACTTTTGGCCTTGTGCTGAATCCATTGTTAGGTCAGCTGCTAAGAAAATCAATTCACACTGTTGAGTGAGACAATTCTTCTCTCCTGAAGCTATCTTGTATATCTATATATCTACTAGTTGTCCATGCTTAGAATATTGCTGCCATATATGGTCTGGTGCCCCTGAGATTTACCTGAAACTCCATGATAAGATCCAAAAAAAGAATCAGCAATATTATTGGTCCTGATCTGGCGGCTTGGATTCAGTCACTTTCCCACTGCCATAAGATTGCCTCTCTGTGACATTTTCATAAATATTTTCATGGTAATTGTTCGGATGAGGTCTTCGCTATTGTACCTAGACTTTATTAATTTTAAGCGCAATACTAGACTGGCTGCATGATCACATCAATTTACAGTTGAGCTCGCTAGATGTAGCTGTAACTTCTATGCTAATAGTTTCTTTCCCGCACTTCTCACTTGTGGAACTCCATTCCAGCAACATGTCTTCCAGCCAAATTTAATCTACAAAAATTTAAATGCAGCATCAATTGCTATCTACTGTCCTCTTGATTACTCTTTTCTCTTTCTCCTCATTATTAATGTTTCTGTTCCTAATTCCTCCATGCTCTGCAACCCCTTGCTTGTTAGTGGCTGTACTGCCTTGCTTGGGGTGATACCGAGTTTAAAAAAATGTATCTAGAGTTATGGAATATTTTTACAATAGCCTCATCCACATGTAAAAAATGGCTAAAAATAATGGAAGCATTATTAATAAAAAAAGAAAATGTCAACACTCAATAATATCAACTATGAACATGGTCACTATGTGCTGACCGTGTTTTGAAAATAATATATTCATATAACTCTAGATACATACATAAAAAAATCCATACACTTTTTAATGAAACACTTATCTATCTATCTATCTATATAGATTTATATATACATGTATACCTACTTACATACATACATATATATATATATATATATATATATATATATATATATATATATATATATATATATATATATATATATATATATATATATATATATATATATATATATACATACATATATATATATATATATATATATATATATATATACATACACGTGTGTATACACACACACACACTATATATATATATATATATATATATATATATATATATATATATATATATATATATATATATATATATATTGGCAGTGTGAAAAACACCTGGATAATACAATTTGTAAATATAAATATAATTATATAATTATATTTTTAAGTATTTCACCCTAAGCAAGGCAGGAGTGCCTCTAGCACACAAGGGGTTACAGAAAGTGGGAGCAAGAATAAAGAGGCGTGATTGTGGAAAGGATGAAGAGGACAGGGAATAGATCAAAGCATCTGAGATGTCAATTGACATTGCATTTAAATATTTGGAGAAGCAAGTAATAGGGAAGGGAGTTCCACAGAAGGGATGTGTGAGATAAGAAGCTGTTGGAGTAGAAGAGATAGCTACATTTAACAGTTTCAACAGTGAAAGGGTGGGACCAAACTGCCAACGTAGTAGCAGACTTAAATTCATTGGTGTTTTCACACATATATATATATATATATATATATATATATATATATATATATATATATATATTTATATTTAAAGACATTTTTATTCTTTTATAGATACAAAAACATAAAATGTCTTTAAATAATTGTTGGACTTTTGTCCATTTGATAATATATATATATATATATATATATATATATATATATATATATATATATATATATATGATATCACACATTATGAAATGGACAAAGTATAACAATTATTTTAAGATATTTTATGTTTATACATTCTTTTTACTTAAATATTTGTTTCTATGAAAAGAATTTATAAACATAAAATGTCTTTATATATATATATATATATATATATATATATATATATATATATATATATATATATATATATAAAATCCTGCTTATTTTAATTGACAAATATAATTTTTTAAAATTAAAAAACTGTAATCCCGCATATATGTAATTATGTAATGTTCAGTTCATACTCAACACCTGAAGATTGTGGTGTGCATGAAATTTTTACTCATGCTCGCAGTGAGGGATATGTATATTTATTAATATATATATATATATATATATATATATACATATGTGTATGCACCTATGTATATATATTTTTATATTTTGCATATGTATGTGTATATTTACCACTAATATTAGCTACATATATATATATATATATATATATATATATATATATATATATATATATATATAAATCGTGGCCTGATGATTGCATCTAGCATGAAACTGATTGTTGCCTCTAAGTCTTGAGTTCTATGTTCACTTTTATATTTACACACGCTCTATCTCTGATATTGAGCACTTTATCCCATAGATATAGCACATCTTAAGACTATCTTTCTTCCTATATATATATATATATATATATATATATATATATTTAGATGAAACCTAGGTTGGTTTTCTTGGCTCTTTAGGATTTATTTTAGTTATTCCACCTCTACTTACTGTATTGAGCACTCTATGTTTTAGTCTTACTACACACTTGTTTTTTTTTTCTTTTGAACAAAGACGTAAGGCACTGGATGAATTATTTTGTCCTGTTCGGATGTTTTTAATTCTTTCTTTTTTTTATTTCCAATTTCATCTTTGGGTATTGATTTGTTTTGACATATCTACAACTTGAGCAATCTGAGGTTTTTTTCAAATGAGTATTACTATTAGTGTATATATATATATATATATATATATATATATATAATGCAAGTTCATGCACACACATAATGACACATATTCATGCAGCAATCCATCAAACAAGGTATTTATATACTGAGGTAGAATTTAGCATGTGACCCCTTAACACTGAAACCTCACCACATACATAGGTAAGGAATGTAATGTCTGTTTTTTTGTTTTTTTTTAATGGGTTTTGATCTGATGAACCCTTCAGAGCCAGAATAAAATAAAACAGAAATTCTAATCAAATATATATATATATTTTTTATTTTTAAAAAGGAAAAAAATAGTTTCGGCTGAGATGAAGACAATACAATAGGTATTCATATAATGTTTTCTACTGTCTTTTGTTTGCTTAGAAAATGAAATTTGTTGAATTATCATGAAAAGGACAAGAAGTTCAATAAAACACACACACAGACACATACACACAGACGTACACACACATGCACACACACGCACACACATGACACAATTGAAAAGAATTTAACTTAATATGGAATCTGTCAGAATTACTTCAAAAACAAAGATTTAATCAATGAAATTTACAAAAGACTGCAAAATATTTCCCAAGAAATATATTGGCAAAGCATTTAAAAATTTAATTAAAAGATTATATTCTTTTATATATATATATATATATATATATTCTTCTGTTTTTTTTCTTTTTTCATTAATATATTTTTTTTCATTAATATATTTTTTTCATTAATATATTTTTTATATTTTTTCATTAATATATTTTTTTCATTAATATATTTTGTGATATATATATATATATATATATATATATATATTTTATTCTTTTGTGCAAATAATGTGGACTGACATTATTTACACAAAGAGGAGTAATACATATATATATATATATATATATATATATATATATATATAGGGTACTGGAGAAGTTTGAAAGTGTTTTCCTGTATATATATATATATATATAG